CAGGGTGTATCCTAGTAACAGCAGTCATCCCAATCCAGGACAATGCATTAGTAGGCTTCAAGGGTCAATGTTACCTGAAAATGTAAAGCTAAATAGAAGCTGCTAAGTGTTAATTGCTTTGCAGTCATTCCTCTCAATACTGTTGCCAAGAAAATGAGATATTTGTGCTCTTCTGAAGAAATCAGACACTTGAAAGTTTGCAGTCATTCCTCTCAATACTGTTGCAAAAAAGACAGCAAAGGTGATGGAGGGAGCATCTCTGCTTTTTATCTAAGAAAATGAGATATTTGTGCTCTTCTGAAGAAATCAGACACTTGAAAGTGGAAGAGTTAGGAGTTGATTTGCTGGGATTTCTATTGGATCTGTTGTATTGTCCTGAAGAGGTTAAGAATGTCTTGGGTGATATTCTGTAAATGCTTCCTGAGAAGCTTAACATAGCAGAAATCATGCAGGAAGACTATTGCCTGGAGACCCTATGCTCTTGTTTGCCTCAAAGAGTAAGGTGATGCAACTTTTCCTTTCAGAGATCCATAGGTCTTTTAAACATCTGAACCTCAGTCTGAAGGCATATTACTTATTTCAGGGCTTTTGTGGCTCTTTTGGACATGGATGATTCTTTATCCTTTATGTATGCTTTTCATTTTTCTCCAGAGGAGGAGCTGATGTTTTCTGCTTACATGGAAGTGCTGCAATGTTCGCTCTTTCGTGATGTTGTGCCAGACACATGGAGTAAACCAGTATATCCATCCACACACAGCTTTGTCCGCTGGTAAGTACCCCACAGTCACAGGGTTCAGCTACTATGCAGAGCTATTCTAGTGATTTAAGCCCAGCAGCCTTGTTCCATTCTTATTTCTTCCAAATTTTGTCCTAATGAAAGTCAGTTTTCCCTTGAAGTGGGTTTTGTAGAAACACCAAGCACTTTGCTAAAGCAAAGGCTCCATCACCTCCCTTTGTCCCAAGTACCAGGCGTGTTTAGCATCTTGTGGGGTTCCTTTCTGTTAGCCTGCCACCAGCAGTGGTTAGACATGGATGAAACAGGCATTATTTCTGGAAATTCTTCTGATATCTCATGGCAATGTATGCTGCATTATGCCATTATTCAGAGCCTCTGTCAGAATCCCTTACATTCCTGATTTGCACTTTGCACTGGCTTATTGGACGTTTAAATATTAAGTTTAAATACCAATTAAGATGGTATCAGACAATTTGCATTTAAGAATGCATCAGCTGTTAGCAGATTCTGGCAGCTTCTCATGGTGATGTTCAGGTTTCTCCCCAAGACTGCAGTTTAACAGGACTGAGCATAATCACATTCTCTGCTGCCAGCAACCCATCCCATGCTGATCAGCTTCTACAACTGATTTCAGACATACTTACATGAGGGAAACAACAAATTCCACTGAAACAATCACCTTAGACTTTTGTAAGCTTATACTTTCTGGTGACTTCAGCAGTGTACTTTCTCTGTAGACAAAAGGACTCTTTACACTTGTAATCTGTAGTTTATTTTGCCTAAAAAAGCAGTTCACATACAGTTAAGGCAGGAGCTACAGATGCTTCTTTCAGAGTTACTGATTTTCTCATGAGGTACTAAAAACTTAACATCTGGACACAGGACATTGTGCTGCCAGCAGTGGTGAGGCTTTCTGGCTTGCACCATCATCAGTGCTTTCTGACAGGTCAGCAGTGATGGGTGTAGGCCACCAAACATACAGTTTCAATGTCAGACATTTCTCTTTAAGTGCTGGTGTTGGCTATGTTTGTGGTGCTGTTAATCACAGCTTAAATGAAAAGATGAAAATCACATTAACCTTAGAATAATCCTTTCCTCAATGCAGGGGGAACAATCCTAACTTACCTTCAGGCTACTTAGAAGTGTGAGGACAAAGCAGGTAAGGAAATAAGAGCTTGACTTTATAGTTTAAAAAAGGCTTAAGAGTGCAAGTTTTTCTTGCCACTGTTTTTTAACTAATTCAGGGCATATATAATGGTACTCTGCTTCATATCATGGTATTCTGTACTCATGTAATATATCATGGCATTCTGTTTTCTTCTATAAAAGAGTTATGAGGCTAAGGAGAAAAATAAATCAAGTCTCCCAACCCTCTTTGTGTAGCTGTTGCCACAGGAGGGGATGGAAAACTTTCATCAGTGTAGTGAATAAAGCAGTACACCTCATTTCTTGTCACAATCACAGAACATTAGCTGAGTTGGTTAGAGCATAGTGTGAGTAACACCAAGGTTTGTGGTTTCAACTTCCATATGGATCATTAATTTAGGAGTTGGACTCGATGATTCTTGTTGGTCCCTTCCCTCAGAATATTCTGTGAATTTGTGAATGTATGTTTGCATTTATTCTGAACACCACAGGAATGCTTGGCAACAGTGTAGCTCAAATTCTGCACGGTCACCAATGGCATTGAGCTAAATGCTTCACTTGGCTAGCAGAAAGGTGGCCAGGAACTCCTCACGGGACACTGGCTGGGCTGACATCACTCTCTGGAGAAGGGCAGACTCAGCACAGTCTCAGGCTTGAGCATGATGGCCCCAAGAGGTTGACAGTTCTGACATTAAACTTACTGTCTGGATATAGAATTACTGAAAGCACTTTTAATTATTTTTTTTTAAGCTGTAATGCAGAGCAAGAACAACTGGCCTTTGGATAAGGCGGGCTCAATTGCAGATGTAACAAGAAAGACCAAGGAGGAGCATGACCACCCAGCAAGGGAAGGAGCCTGTATCTGTATGCCTTCTGTGCAAGGTAAGAAATGAACTTAAATTGCTTGATCTCCTAGTTCAGGGATTCTATTAGGCAGTGAAGCTGCATCATCAAGAGTTGCACTAAAGCGTTGTGACCCTATGAACAGCAACAAGAAGCTTAGGCATGGTGCTAGATTGCTGGCATTTGTCACTGTGGCTATAAATTTCATACCAGCTTGGTTTTCTAATCATTAAATATACTTCCTGCATTTAAATAACTGTTAACTATGTCTGAACAAGGTCTGCATTGTAGTAAAGCAGCAGCTCTAATCCAACCTAGGTTCAGAAGCTTAAAGACTATTCCAGAAACTATAAATTTCACAAAAATTAACTCCTAGAATTTTTTTGCAGCTCTCAGAGGTGCAGAATAGGGTTAGTAGTTAGCACATGTTGGCAACCTGGATCAAGTAATCCACACAACTGCAATTAAAAAAACCCCAAAACCACAACCTAATCTGCACAAAAAGCCATCAACCAACCTACCAACAAAACCCCCAAATCCACAAACCAATAAACATAAGACCCCACAAAAAGCATCTGTATCCTGTTTTTTTTCTTCTACCTTGACTGAAAGTCTGAAAGTTGCCAATTCTAAATAAACAGATGTAACATATATATATATATATATATATATATATATTTGTTGGGTTGTAATGCCATAAAGCTTTTGGGGAGACATACCAAGAATAAAGGAAAGTACTTGAGAACACCTGCATTGTGGGTCACTTCCAACTCAGAATACTCAGTGATTCTATGATTAGCATGAGGTAAAATGAGGTATAATTAGGTGGGCAAAGTGAAAGAGATTTTTTTTTATCTGGACTTTTAAGCAAGCAGTTATTGCAGTAGCTGTAATAGAGTTGTAGGCTGTCCCTGAATGGAAACCACATTCACTTTTTGAGCTGCAACTCCTCTTTTAACAACCTTCACATGATAAACACCTTATTTTCTTCTTTTGAATCTGTATCTTCCTGAGACTGAAGCATCTAGTTCAGGAATGACAATTCAGGCCTGCTGTCAACATCAGATTTTAGTTTTAACTGAGAAAAGCTGTCAAGAGAGCTACAGCTCATTAGAGAAAGGTGAGTGACTCCCAGTGGCAATCAGAGAAACACCATCGTTACTCATACTCTTCACCAGACCTGAATATAACAAAAAGAAAGCCACTCTTTTGGAAAGGAGTTGCTATACAGCAGGTAAACCCCAAGAGGAAAGTTAGAGTGTGGGAATGGAGCAATGGCAAGGATGTCATTTGAATGTTGCTTTGTGAAATGGAGGCATCAACTTTTCAGAGGTTTTTTTTGATACATCTGTCAGTCCAAGGGCAATACAGTTCATTCCTCCTCTGGAGATGAGGAAAGCATCAAGGAACCTTGTATGTGCAGTCTGGGCTTGTGTTGGTGTTTATAAATATAAAATTTCCTATCACTACAGTCTCTGCTTTTAGTAAAAGGGCATGTTAATGAATCCACAAGTGCAGTCCAGACAGATGCTATGGACTCATCTCTACATTCAAACAAACAGATGATGCACAGCAGGCCAACAAAATCTAAATCTAAACCAACCAAATCAAAAATCTACACTACTACTATGTTCAAATGTAGCCTTAACTATTTAGCAACTGTTTAAACACAAATTATTCTGGTCTTGCACTACAGAACATCATGTAAAGCAGGTGCTACTATTACTGCAGGCACCACACGGGACAGTGGGGCCCAGAGCAGAAACATGGTTCAGGAGCCGACTTCAGCAATGCCAGACATTTTTTTAAAGGATATTCCAGTGGATCAAAGGGAAACCAAGAATGTTTATGAATGTCCAGCTTATAAAAGCAAAAGCAGGAGGACAACTTGTGTTTTGACTTTCAAGCTGAAGATTGAGAAGTCGGGTAAATGGGTTCTGGCAAGAATAGTTTCACTCCTGGCAGTTTCATACTAAGCTTTCAATAGAACATGCTGCTTTCTAAGTCTGCCTGATAGCAAAAAGAGAGATTTTTCAGTCAGCTAGAGCAAAAGCTAGAGCATAAGTGTTACATTAAGGACTGTGTTTTTGTCTCACAAAAAAACAATCCTTAACGTAATGCTTATGTGGTCTATGTTGTTATTTCCTCATCTGACAATGTTGTGCTCATGTGTTTCTCCACATAATGATTATTGATCTCCAAGCACCATTACACTTGCTATGGGAAAGTAAATGGGAAACATCAGCATCAGGGTGTAGTTTGAATCACAAAATACTCTTCTTTAGAACAGTCTTTATTCTCTCTACATAAAAAGAAATGTGTATATTACAGGATTTTAACATACTTTAACATGCAATACAAATATCTTGCATTTAAACACAGTTGTTTGAAAGCCTGGTTGTACAAATGCAAAAATATCTAAGTATGAACTGTAAAAAAACTTAATCCTGAACTCTGATATAGAACAGTTATGACAGGTGGGTAGATGCTTCAGACAGCAGGTGCATTACACAAAAACTGCTGGTGAGAAGTTTTGTTGGATTTTTTTACTGGGATATTTTTAAATTCTTTTTAAACACTCTTCTACTTTCATGTTTTGGTGAATAATTGCACTTTGGAATAAAATTTTCAAAACCCATCCTTGCACTGGTCGATTGCATCACCTTTGGCTGGAATATAATGGCATTCAGATGAAAGTACCTTTTCCTTCTTTGCAAGGACAAGTTCTATAAACTACAGGTGGTGAAACAGGTTCAGAAGGCAGAGCTGGAAAAATGGATCTTTATGGTCAAGCTGGTAGACAAGGGTGTTTTGTTTCTTTGAAGATGGGCTGCTTTGAAGGTAGCTGTTAAACACCCTTTCTGAAAACTTGCACAATTATATAAATAAAAATATTGCTCATTTTGATCAAGCTGTCCATCATGTGGTTGTGTAGCTCTATTAAAAATTAACCACTCAAGGTTCAAGAGTGCCATTTCACTTAACATATAGGTCTGTGCATGTAGATTTCTCTACCAAAACATCTTCCTGAGAGATCTTTTGCATAAGACCATATCAATCAGAAGGTTTCCAATACAGAAATGAATACGCTATATACTACAATTCTATTTTATGTAAAACATAGTAATAAACTTCTGAAGTCAAACTGTTAACATATTAACCAGTTTCAGGCATGGCTTGAGTCCAGTGCTCTCAATTGTCATCCGGCAGTTGTTTTTGTAAACTAGAAGATATGAGAAAACAGTGTTAGTGCTTTTTAGGAAACTCAGCTTCCCCATGAATTTCCATTGCTATAGATGGTAATTTCCAAAACAGCACTTTTATACACTTCAGGCAACCAACAGGAATTCCAAAATAGGCAGAAGTCTTCCCATTTTTTAATCGAATTAGTTGTTTACACAGACAATATACCTCTCTTCAAATAAACTGATTTCAGCCAAGGAAAAAAATCTGAAATCCAAGAAACTTCTTTTGCATAGGTGCAGGATTTGCCTCAGGGCACAAGAAGTCAAATGTTATTTATTAAAGGGCTGTAACAGTTTAAAAAGGAATGACCAGAGGGCAGAGCTCTCACCTTTCCAGGTACTCCTTGGCGTTGCTGTAGCCGTAGAACTTGGCCAGGTGGATGAGCATGCCGGTGGCACAGCGCCCGTCCCGCCGGCGGCAGTAGCTGCAGTTGCACACCCCGCGACACGGAGGACAGATCCAGGCCTGCAGGGGTGTGAACGTGGGAGAAGGGGAAAAGCAAGACATGAAAAATGTTATACTGGCCTTCCTGTTGCTCAGAGAAATGTGAGTATGGCTTCCCCACCATGTGATTGTTCAGGGCAAGGTTTTACAAGCCTCTATCAGCCAGCCAGCCAACCTTATTAACATTTTCCAAATTCTGCAGGATTAGAAAAATTATTAAGTGCTTGAATACTTCTTAGTCTGAAGCCTCAGGTTCTCTGATGTGCTCAGTATTGATTTTCAAATAGACTGAAGTAATCTATAATGCCTAACATTCATTCCATGTTAGGCTGACTGTAGACAACTCCCTACAAAGAGATGGGTACCCACTATGACAAGTTCCTTGCCTCTCTCTGCCTGCTGGTACAGGACAATTCCTGGGACTGAATTAACTAGCTGGTACATGAAGTTAAGCACCTCCAAGCTGCCCAGCAACTGCACATAAAGCACAGGTGCTAACAGAGCAGCCACTGCCACACTGGGCTAGCACATCAGAGCCATCAGTTAGTACTACAGATCTGCTCTTGGCAAAAAAGTTTGAACACCGTTACCAGGAGCATATTCTTAGCATCATGGATTACTAAGAAAACTCTATTCACTACTTTCATTCCAGGTTCAAGAATGACACTTACTGGATCAAGCAGAGCTGACTTCACATCTTCACCGTATCGATTTCGAAGACAGGGGCCACAGAACTGCCCCCTGACTCCTCCACAGCCCTGCTTGCGACAGATTGTCTTTGTATCAGTTGTCTTCTGTCGACATTGGTGGCAAGTACTACCCTAAAGGTGGAATGGAAGAGAAAAACATTTGTATGAAGGACATCTTAAATACCCATTGATGAGCTTTCCTAATAATAATAAGCACAAATTCAAACCAAAGTCAAATTAAACAATGAAGAGTGAGTTCCATTACCATGATAAATAATACAACAATGCTAGGAATTTTACAGAGACGGTGCCAAGTTTCAAATGGAAGTCTCAAATTACATGAACCTCATAATCATAGCTCTGGTCCTTACTTCTCTCCAGGAAAAACCTAAAACTACTGAGAAAATGATCTTGTGACTCATCCCTGCCAATACTATGAAGCATGACATACATGGTAAGATGATCTTTATGATAATCAATAATAACCAAATCCAGTGAAAGCAAGGAAGGAGGAGCTCCATTAAAAACACTGGACACTACTCAACCTGTACAGAAATGTCATTTCCAGAGGTACAAAGAACAGCAGGGATCACTGTTATTTAATGGTACAACACAACATTTTTATTAGTGAGAGAGAGAAAAAGGATGCCAACTCTTACAAGTGGCAAGTAATAGCTACAGCAAACTTGACTTAACAGCTCTGTGGCACAAAAACACTTTTCAGGGGCAAAAAGCCAGTGGGGAGTATCAACCACCACAGCCAAGCCCAGAGAAGTATGGCAAAGCTTTCAAAGCAATAACGATGTGACATAATAACGATGAGCTGAACTCCCCAGAGCCTCAGGAAAGGACACCTTTTAGCAAACACCAGTGAAATAGTGAGAGACTTTTCATTTCAAGCACACAGACACACTGAAGAATACAGCAACCACTTACAAGAACTTTGTCATAGATTTTGTCTCTAACAGTGATTGCAATGTTGTTCAAGTCCTCCTCAGTTATGTCTTCTACCGGGCGATGAGACGAGTACTTCAATGATCTCCTTCTTTTGCGTGCTCCACAATCCCTCTGCTAAACAAACTCATCTCAATACCTTTTGTCTGATGTCATGAAGCCTCTGTCACCACACCTGGTGACAAATTCCTTCATTTACAATGAGCATGCAGTCTACAGCTGGCAAACTACAGGCTCATGTACCTCAACAGGGAAGAGTTTCCAAATCACCCCTGCCTCTTTCTCTCCCTCTCCTCCATAAGCTTTTCTCTACCACACTTTTTATTCATTTTATTTCATTCCTTTCCATCACTACTTCTTCTGTTTGCATAAATCCTTGACAATGTTTTACTGCTAACTTTTCTTTGCATTCCCTCTCCTCCTTCACTGTAACTCTTCATACTCCATTTGCTCCCTCTCAAAATCAAGAACTGTGATCATCTGCCTTCCCATGCTTTCATCCTTCAACCTCCTTGTATGTTCTCTAGTTGCTTTCTCCAATGACAATCTCTAATGTCCTGCAAAAAAAAAACTACCGAAGTTTTAGGTTAGTCCTGCCACTCCCAGCCCTTTCTTATTTGGAAGAAAGTACTTCACCATTAAGCAATGTTTTTTTCCATCTAAATAATCATTCCCTTTGACCCCTATTCATGAACAAATCTCATCATATTCTTAGCCTTCCCCATACCTGTCTCTGAAGACCTCATTTGTGCTTCACTATAGATCAGTTCTGTTCTGTCCAAAACAGTCATTTGCCAGCCCAGGTTCTCATTTGGTGCTACTCCTTTTCTTCTAATAGCCAAGTTCCCTCTATAATGCTTTAACTACGTCCAGCACTTGTTCCTACAAGCAGAACTGGGATCCAGCCTGTAAGGATTCAGACTTAAAGGGTCCTCCCCATAAGGGCTATACAGAAAATATAAGCAAGACAAATGACCACCATAGGCTAGAGGAGGAAAAAAACGTATTTTTAAAAATAGGAAAGAGTAAAATCTGCAACTTTTCAATTACTAGCCTGTACATTAACAGTGTGCTGGTGCAGATTCCCTTAATTCATTCTCAGTTCAGCCATATAACTCACATCATCATTCTCCTATTTCCAGAGAAGGATTTCTGCCTTTTTTTCCCCCCCAAGTATGGTAACAGAGAAGATCTGCTTTGCCACCTCCACCACCCCACTGCCTTGCCACTCCGAGGTTTTGTACATGATGGGCTCTAGTAATTTTCAGATGAAGAATTAATAACAGACCAGAAGTTAACTGTCTTGTTATGCCTGAGTAACACTGGTCACAAATAGAGCCCACTTAACAGGTGAAAGATGAAACAGAAAGGCCTGGAAATAACTTCTGTAGGTAATCCCAACCAAAGATTTTCAATAACTTTGTGTAGGATGTCATGTCTGATCTAAGAGCTGGCCAACAATTTAAATGTTTCCTAGTTCCTGACTACTGGGGATATCAAAATCTGGCAAATACCACACTGAGTCTCTTCAGGAGGTTTTGTTGTCTGTAGCTACAGATGTGTTCTGCAAGTTTGACAGCTGACACAGTAAATTTTTCCAAGGCAAAATTTGCTGGTGGACGAGCAGTTCTGGTTGGGTTCATTCGGCGTGTTATCTGGCCTTCAGAGAATGTCCTCCTTGGGGTTTTCTTCTGCCTCTACAAGAGAAGAAAATTCCAGTAACTGTCTTTTCAGTTATGTTTGTAGTGTTAAACACTAGAAACAACCTGAAAATGTCTGTACCACACTTGTACTATCATGAATTGATTTACTGTTCTCCTACTCCTGATTTGTTAAGCAAAACCCCACTACCAAATATACTCCCTACACACTATACCTTTTTACTACTTTTAAAAATTACACCTTAACATCAAATTCCATTCCAATTAACATCACAGAACTATACCAAAATGTAACATGTGGCACAGTAGGGTGGTGGAAGCTAGTTTTCACTGCTCTTTGGTAGCTAAATATTCTGCTTTTCCCACAATCTGAATACACAACTGATGAACATTGAGGAATAGACAGTTTGAGGAACAAGCTGAGTTCTTGTTAATTTTCTTTTAATTTTTTTAAACTGAAAAGGTATTAAGAAGTTGCTTCATTTAGTTCAAGATTCCTAATTTTGGAGACTCTTGGGAGGCACTCTTCATACTGTCACACCTCCAAATTAGTGTGATTAAACTGATGAAACAGAAGTCCTGCATGGACACCTACCAAAGACATGGCCCTTCAAGGTTTCCTCAGATCTTTCCAGTTTATAATACACTGGAAAGATGCTACTCTACAGAGAAAGAAGGGTTGACACTCCTCTGCTTAAAGCTAAGAAAAGTCAATAAAAATGACTACTGTATCATTTCTGTTTGTGTTGAATGGTTCAATTTCATAAGCATAGCTCTACTTGGAAGCATGGATTTTAGAAGAAAAGCCTACAAGAGGGAAATTAACAGAATCTAAACCCAAAGGAAAGCATGTACTCTTCCTTATTCCCACATACACAGACATTGGTCTAAGATCTCAAACAGTATTTCTGGAGCAAAAATGTAGCATCTCATCTTGGTCTTTGTCTTTCTCCATAAAATATCTTATAAAATTCCATTTCCTCATGTAATCTCTGGCACTTTGCAAACCATAGTAAATTTATACAAATGAAGTGACCAAACCCAAAGGAAATCAGAAGAAAGTTTTCTGGAAGTTTCTAATGAAACACATTAAGTCTAACATCTAAGTCTAACAAAAATTACTGTCACCACCAACCAGTACTGGGAACTTACTGAAGGAGTTGAGGATGGCATTTTCACTGGGAACAGGTCCGGTACGGAATTCAGTTCTGCCAGCAGCTGGGCAAGCTGGAATCAAGAGATGTCACGTTGAAAACTCACTGCAACTTAAAAAATAAGCAACACCACCTACCATCCATTCTTCACATGCACTTCAAATTACAGATAAACATGTGCAAGGAACCTTCATGGAAGCACTTAAATAAAGTGGGGCTCATAAAAGGGGTTTATTTACTCTGCCATGAGCAAAAACTCTGCCAATGATACTAACTTTATAGCTCCCACTAATTCTTACTGGGAATTAGAGCTAGTCAGATTTACATAGTATCTTGTCAAAACAGCACCAAAGGAGTGCATTACAACACGGTAATTATTGATAACAAGAAATTAAGTTCATATGATAGGAGGGAGGGAAAAAAAGACAGGGTGCCAGAAGACAGTAAGATGTTCCCAGTGAGCTTTTACTGACTGCAGATACATCTGTGTTCTTTGCCAGAGAGCTCAGCATCCCCTTAAGCAGTGCAGACACTGGGTACACACTCATTACAAAGCTAGAGAGCAACTAAGCCCCACTGGCAGTTCCCCCAATGCATGCATGTTCTGATCATGTACAGTATCAGAAGTACTTCAGCAGGATGATTATTTCTTGCACCATGCACAAGATGTATTTCTTGGAAGTACATTTCCACAGAAGCAGTGGCTGATAGGTACAAAAAAAGCACTGACCTGTTCTGGAATTCCAGAATGAAGCTAACTTCTGAAAAGCCACTGGTAGAGTGGGGATGAGCCAAGCTGCTAGCTCTCTGAGATTGCCACAGCCATCAAGAGATTAAAAGCTGAATAGTGTATTTCTCAGTAAATACTTCAGTGTGGCATTTATTAAGTACAGTACTGCTCCTAGGATGCCAGTGAATTTCACAGTGGTTGAACTGCAAGGAAGAGTGGAAGGGGAGAAGGACCAAGGAGCAGCAAGACCAACACAACAGCAGAGGCAACACATGACAGGTTAGAAGTACAGGTACAAAGCTGAAGCAAGTTTTTACACAGGAGCTGCAGGCCCACACCAATAGGTACTGCTTGAGCTCCAAGACTGCTTGGAAGCTGCAACTTTCCCTGAAACACAGTAAAACTGAAGGAGCTACTAATCACTGAACATCAGTTTGGATTACATAGCAGCATGATAATTAAAGAGAGCTGGTGGCATGTTGGATAATAGAGAAAAAAACATTAGTAAATGATCAGTTGCTCTTTTCCACACCTACACACACATACACACGTGTTCAGCAGTCATACAGTAAAGCAATACTGTAAAAATCACATCCCACACAGCTGAAAAATTACACTTATCATCCTCAGCAGTTTTTTGCTGGCTTTTTAATCAGTAACTGCAGGAGATCTGTCACACACAAACAAAAAGTAGAAACACTATTGTGCAAACAACACCATAAACCACCTAAAATGACCAGCTGGTTTTCTGACATGTTCTGAAGGCTGCAAAACTTGGTCATTTATAACTTTGTTCATATCCACATTAAAAATTCTTAGTTCTACTCTGGTTTTAAACTTGACCAGGCTAGTCCCTACTTGAGGTTATTTTAGGGTTAAATGTCTGAATGCTGAGGGTCCTCTAGAGTTTTCCCAGGTAGAAAAATTCACCATAAGATTTTCCCAAAGTTCCATCACAGCACCAGCAGGGACCCTAAACTTCAAGTATGCTAAAGTAATTGGATGTAAATGTCAGAGAACAAAACACTGCTCTTAAGTCTTACCATGGCTTTATTTTCTTTAATATTTATGGCTCTCTTAAGCAATGCATTGGAACTTTCCTCCTCTATTTCTTTAATGTCTTCTTCAGACTCTGAAGCAGAGCCCTCTACTTTGTCCGACTGCTTGAGAGGTGTGAGGGATTCACAGTCCTTTACAGGTAAATCAGACAAAGCCTGTTCTTTTTTCTCAGATGACTTCCTGGTGGGAAACTGTAAAGCAACACGAAGGCCAAAGCTTCTTCTCTTGGGGGAAACCTTCTTCATCTCTTCCTCCTCTTCTTTCTCATTACCCAACAAATTATCATGTTCTTCGTCACTCAAGTCTGACTCCACCACCTAGAGGTAAGAAAAATCCCGTGTTACATTACTGGTTCTGATACATCTTGTTAATTCAAGAGAGTTAATTTTTAAATCACTAGTTCTAAACAGCAGTCTTTCCACCCAAAGGCACCACCATAAATTCACCTAAATTAACATCTTTTTACAAGTTCACAGTATGCAGTTTCTGCCTGTGCAGAGATCAACAAAACATCTACATATTAGTATTGTCTGGGATACAGACATGGCTGCCTCCAGAGGAACAATCTTGCCCAGTACAATCTACAAGCAGTGGAAGTAGTTCTCATTTCTAATATGTGATGCTATATTAAATAAAGCATTCTTTAGGACCACACATTTTAATTCAGCATGAAAAAAGAGCATCATAGAAAAATTCCTACATGAACATTAAGTTTACACAGAAGAGACAGAAAAAGAAGTCAACATATACATTCACATGTAGGTGTGACTGCCTTTACCAGAACTTCTTTCTTGTTCACATGCACCTCGTTTGAAGCGAAGCCCTCAAACACTTCAGTTTCAGAGTCAGTGTCCTCAGTGAAAATCCCCAGCAGCTCTTTGGTGAGGTATCTGGACTGAAACCGGAGCCCCTGCAAAAGCACCACTCAGTAGCTGTGAGAGACACTCAGATATAGAGCATTCACACAGCCACAACAAACAGGTTTGGAGGGTTAAGACATGCCAACTACACAGCATACTGTGAAAGCACTTTGCAGGCAAAGCCTGTCAAAAGAAACAAACAACAAGAAGACAACATTCAGTTTCAATATTGAGTTGTTTTAACTTTGCAAGATTTTTTTTCTTCATTTTGAGGACAGGGCTTTAACAGAGCTATTTCTTGTGGGGGAAATTTTCTCCTTCACTTCTTCCTTCTTCATTACAACCCAATAAAAATAAACTATCAGTTTTCTTGTATGTAAATCATCATGTTGTTTTATGTATTTTCTTCTGTTTTATGTATTTTCTTCAACAAGCCTTGAATAGAAGAAAATACAAATGAGAGATGAGGTCTGCTTCTTATGCTGTTACACCGTCACTGAACTGACTGATACCAACATAAATGATCAGAGCTTTGAACAGCCTGACTAATATCCCTCCACCTTTCAACTTCTCAACTTGCTGGTTTTTTGGTGCAATTTATCAATCACATGTGGTCTAGGGTAGGCAGCTCCTCAATTTCAGCCTATAGACTAGGAAGTAAAAACATCTCATTAAAACACTCTTCAGGATATGTACATTACATCCCAATTAAACACAAGGCTTTTACTAAATAGAAATACTTCCATACTTCCAACAAGAACTAGTAGAAAACCATTTAATCAACCTTTTCCTGCTAATCTCTTGAGAGACTTGCTCCTGGTAGGAGCAAGTATGAATCCATGTTCATATCATACCTTCCTCTTGAAAGTCAGCAACATGTAAGTTTGTTTCCCCAATTTTCCTCTGTTACTTCTTCCTCCCACACAAGAAACAAAAATTACCTTTAATACAATGCATTTGCTAAATATCTTTATTCTTCCTTTCAATTCTCTCCCTTCCCTGACTTTAATTACCCATTTATTTATTTTAAAATAATATCTGTTGAAAAAAGATACAATAGGCGAGTGGAAAAACTTAGAGGGGAATGGGAGGGGAGAGCCACTACATATGCTGTTTCTTTACACTTAAACATCTACAAATTATTATGGGTAATTGTAATGAGTTTTCTCTAAGGAAAATTACTTTATTCTTTTGTTGATAGCTGCAGTGCAGCTGCTTGAGAAAGGAACAAACACAATAGGGAAGTTACTTTAAAGTTAAATTGCATTTCTTGGAGGAAACTGAAGTTTTTATGTATTCTGTGTTTTTATGAAATTCCACAATGAAGGTTGATGGGGGAAATATGCTGTTTGTTAGCTAAAAATAACACACCTACAGCTATGCTGTTCATCTATGAAGAACAGTCTACACCTGGTAAAATACACACCAGGGATACCTATTGTGGGAGAAATTGTGGGAACTCGGGAGAAGCGCAGAGATTATCAGAGCAGGACTGCAGAAAGCCCTGAGGAAAAGCAGGCACACAGAGATCACTACTTGCTAACTCATTTGCACCTCAGCATCCATGGGAAGACCTGATGCACAAATAGCTCATTTGCCACCCCAGCAGGGCAGCTACCTTGCATTCTTTCTCAAGTACTGCTGAATTTTTCTGAACTTCCCATCATTTTCCCCTTTGCACGAAAACCCTTTTGTTTCCTGCACAAGTACCAATGGCCTTTTGCTACCATAGTGGTGTTTGCCATCATGAACACAGGATGATGCTCACTGATGCAGGGCCCAGATGTGCAAGGACTGCAGATTATGCTGCAGTTGGATGGAACTCAGGGTATTTTTATTGTACCATTTAGTGGTAAAGAAATTAAATTCAATACTGATCAAGATTTAAAATAATTCTCATCCCAAGGGAAACACAAGAATAATAAGGAAGGTTGCAGTGCCAGCTGTAAATTTGGAAAAAGCCTCACTAGCATTCTCAGCAATGCATGTTAAACTACCTACCTATCTCTTCCACAGCATTTTTCATCAGAGGATTTTAAAATGCTTTGCAGAAGAGATCATTACCATAAACTCTATGTCACAAGTTGGGAAATCAAGGGAAGGAAAAGTACAGTCAGGTGTCTGCAGCCCCCAAGTAGGCAGAAGCAGAAGCTCCCACACAAGGCTTCCCCTCCACCACCAATACCTCTCCCCACTGACCCTTCTTGATGCTCCCCAAAAAAACACAAATGCAAGAGCAAGCTACCTCCTGGTTTTCTGAAGTTGCCAGTACTGCTGTCTAGCAACTAGATTACAAACCAACTTAGAGACCAGTTCATTTAATTACATCTTAGACACTGTCCTTCTCCCCAGCACAGACTGTGGCTCTACCCTCAAAAGGCTTCTGCACGCTCCTGGGGTCACTTGCCTATAAAGGCTGAGAAACAGAACACACTTGTAACAAGCCTTATTCTGTGTCTTTCTTTGGCTAACACTAATCATCCTCCTTGTCATCAGCACCTCTTGACCAGGTGCTGACCTGATGGACTAGGAAAATAAAAGGAAAAAAAATTCAGCTATCTCATTAATGAAACAGAGGGACCTTTGCAAGAGCACAAATGACAAAGGTATATCTTATAACACATTAGCCCATGGCTATCAAGCACATAATTATAGTTTTCCAAAGGACTAAAAACTAATTTTTTCACCACCCAAGACAGCACACCCGTTCTATTCTTTTCTTGTGAATTCAGCTGGTATCTCCAGCTATCAGAGAAGAAAAAATATCAAATCATTGTGCTGATCCAAGCCACTTCATCAAGAGAGCAAAGAACCAGCAGATTGTATTACTGCAGCAGGAGCTGATGCTTTCTCTGGATTACCACTATTAAAGCACAATTTTAATGCAAAGACAGCGTGGAGATATTTCTGGAAGAAATACTTTGAAGCCTACATACTCACAAATGCCCATCCACTATCATGTATTTTCACTTACATATCCTGCAATATCTTTCCAGGATGGTAATTCCCTTTTTCCTGTTTGCTTATTCTTAACAGAATAAGCAAATTAAGCAATTCTTATTCTTAACAGAATAAGCAAATTAAGCAATTCTCAAACTTACCTATTTCACTTAAACTCATCTCCCAATGAAACACATTTTCTTTTTTATATTATGAAGGAGTTTTCAAAAGCAACCACTAAACCCTAAATACTAAGTTTGTTTACATTTAAGTTGAATATGGGCACTGCAAATTACAGGTTAAGGTGAGAGTTATAATTCACAAAGTTTTGACACAGGCTCAGAGTATTACTGCATCCCAAGAGCATGACTGGACTATGGAAAACTGTTCCTACCTCTTTTCCAGTCTCCACAGAATCCAAACTGGCACACTTGTCCTCTGACAAGAAGCTCTGTTTGGAAGCATCATCTTGGAATCCTGGAAAATCTTCACTGTCACTGGGGGTATTAAAAATGTTGGCCACATCCTTGGGTACCTGTTTCTGATTCAAAACAAAGCAGAAAATACGAGTCACACACACCAACTTAACAGGAAAACTCAAATTCACAACCATAAAATTTATTTTTATATTACTATGCAAGCACAGGTCTGTAGCACAAAATATGCTATGTGTAAATTGTACCTTATTTAGCTAAACTCCAGGAAAATTCTGTATAGACTGTTTAAATCCCTGAATACAAACTCGGGATCTGGGATAAGGGAGGGGATGCAACACACAGGGTGTTCACCTCCACAGCAAAGTACTTCAGAGACATAAAAAAATACATGCATGCCTCATCTTTTCAAGCAGGAGCTCAGGGCACCCTTACCCATGGGGAAACCCACCACCCCTCCTGCTCTTCCAGAGCAAAGACTGCTCAGAGGTGAGGAACACAACTTCAAACATGACACAAGCTAAAGTACAAAGAAACCTGACCTTTAGATCCCACAGTACCATTATGGATTTTAGCAGATACTTAGCTAACTCCAAAAACAAAACCAATGAAACTCCTTCTCCTTGGTCAGTACTGTCACAGAGCTTCTCCTGTGACACTAAGAGAGTGAAAATGTGCTAACCAAGAACATTTCTCCTTTGCTAGAAGCCCAGTATGTGGCCCACCAGGAGAGGGGGAAGCACAGCCAAGGGCAGGCAGCAGCTTTCCTGAGGTGACCAAGGTCACAGCTTCAGAGTTCAAGAAGTCCAGTCCCAGCCTAGGAGACTTGTAACACCACCTCCAACCATTCCACTGGGCCATACACCTCTGGATAAGGCTCTGCATGTGCCAGGATAGTAAGAAAGCCTTCAGACAGTTCACAGCAAACACTTTGGATAAGGCTCTGCATGTGCCAGGATAGTAAGAAAGCCTTCAGACAGTTCCCATGTGGGCTGCTTTAGGATTGGGTGGGTGTAAGGATGGGATGAACAGATCAAGCCTTAAAAAGCAAGGAAGACGGCATTTTGCCAAGTTTCAGAACACATTTTCAACATCCAAGTATCATCTGCAAAACCATTGGGCTAGTCACACAAATGCTCTGGGAGACCAGTGTCTGCATTCCTCTCCAGCATCCAGACACTCGTCCCCTACTTCCCCTGGACCCCACACACACCTCACACACACCACTCTAACTTGAAACAAGCCTCTCTGCTGTTTGCTGAAGCCACACTCTCATTAACTCTCAGGAACATGAGATCAATGACTGCCTGGTCAGAGGCCAATTCCTCATCTCAAAGTGCTGTTTTCCTGCCCTGAACATTCACCAGTACATCTCAGAGATGAGGTTCAGAACCAAGAGCAGACTGCCCTTTTCCACTGTCACGGAAAACCAAGGTTGCTCATACAGGGCATATATAATGATGATTTTTTTTTTCTAAGTTTATTTGTGGCAAGGCAAGTGATACAAAGGAGGCTCATTCTCCAAAAGTAATGTAGATGCAAAAGTTCCACTTCCATTAAAATAGCAAGCAGTACCTTCACCAAAGCATCACTCTCTGAAATAAGCTACAGTAAAGGGTGAACATGAGCCTAATTTTATTCTTGTTCTGATCCTATAAAGCTGATGTAGGCTGATACAAAACCAGCTTAAAATGTTGCTGGAGCAAGAGTAGAATTCACCTCTGAAAAACTGACCCTCAGGCCTATAATGGCCTGAGATCCAAAGTACAGTTGAGTTGCTGAAGTCATGCTGTCCATGTCCAAACCCCTTTGGATAGTCCCTTACTCCCACCTCCTACAGTGAACATCCATAATCCACATCTGTTGCTGTGAGGGAATACACTCAGTACAGAGCAGTGCTAAAAATGAGGGATTGTGCATTTCAATTGAAACATATACAAGGAGCTGAGAGTCTCACTGCTATGAATAAACTGCTTCCAGGAGCCACTGCATTAGTTCTTGTGCTAACGTACAGCTGAGTTAGCCACTGCTGTGATTACTGTATGCCTGATTTCTTCTTCTTCATGCATTGCTTCGGCACCTGCACCAGAGGAGTCATTATGAGGCTGTAATTACTGATTTTGAACAACAAGAAAAAAATTCCTTCCCAGTAGGAGACTTAATTTTTTTTGCATTCCCAAATTCTACAGTACTGGTACTGATTTAAGTAACTTACTGTAGAGCTCCAAGGATTTTTAGTTTGTGACTTGCTCCCCATAGCCTGATTACAAAAAAAATCTCAATTTGGTCAATGATGAGTCCCCATTTTACCAGAAGGGCTCATGTTAATAACAGACAACTGACAGGTACAAGGTGGACATACTCCAGAAGTTTAGAAAGGGAAGCCTCATGGTGAATCTTGATTAGCAACACTATTTCTGCACCTGAAATTGTAAGCCAAATTTATTTCCAAGAAAAGTCCACTAACATAAAAGACAAGATTGCAGCAAACATCGCCGCTGTGATGGGTTCATTCACTGTCATTTATTGGGTAGTCCTGGAAGCCACAGACATTTCCATCTTCAACTTTCAGTTAAAATACATTTTGAAACTGATTTACAATCAGCATCAGAGCCTAGGATTTCCATTCTTGTCAACAAATTATTATACACCAAGAAAGAAAATACATATTTGTCTAAACAGAAATGTCACAATGTTGATCAAATGTTGATCTATTCAAAACACAGGCACTACAGGAGAGGAACTTTTGCCACTAAACCCCTAAAAAAGTCAGGAAGGCAGAGATGTGATGAACACTGCAAGCTTGCTCAGGGAAAATATTTCATCATGAATAGACCACAATGGACTGCTGAAATGCTGCAGGTGTGAGAAATACTGTCTTTTAAATATACCTCTTAAAAAGTCTAAATACCAAAAGTCTAGTAAAAGCTGGAAATAATTCACAGCTGCTGAAAAAGTCAGTGTTATTTGTTAGGAAGTTTTATATCTATTGAACTAATTTATTTTGCACATAAAACACACTTAGTTGTTTAAAATCCCTACAAGGTACTATTCAAAAGCATCAGCAAACCTTCATCACTAGAGATGGAACACAATCCAAAAACTGCCATAATAACATATCCTATGTTTTTGAAGAAGTAATCCAAAGTTCAAGACATCCACATCTCTCAGGTTTTCCTTCTCTAAATTAGACAAAATACCACCAGTACACCGAGGAGCATACTTGGATGCGTTGGGCTGCATGGAGATCCTATTCCCACAGAACCAGGGTGAGTAGCTCACATGTGCCTGTGGAGGCTGGCATGTCTGTCACCAAGGGCAGAGGGTGACAGAGGCTGGTAGGATGGTCAAAACTCTTTCAGTCACATCAACTATTGAAAAGTAAAGAATCTAAGGTCCCCAGCAGTCACAAGAACATTTTTCAAAGCACTATGCCCATGAATTCTGCCTTGTTAGTCAAGAAAAAAAAAGCCCAAGGTGAGCTGTTTTGCTATTGGCATCAACAGGAAGAATTTTCATGTTTCAACTGAAAAAGCAACTTTTTTTCCTGACAACTTGCCCTGTAGGCTGTGAGGAGAGAACACCTGCCTGCATGCAAACCTGTGGATTTGGTGGGAAGCAAGTTATTTCTACACCACTTACTACCATGTTTAATTTCAAGAGTTATTTACATATAACTCTTTCCCTGCCAATTGTCACACAAGCACATTCTTCTCCAACAGTGATGTATCAGGAGAACCTACAGCATGAGAAACAGGACTTAGGTGTAGTTCTCTATTTTTGCTACTATGATGGGGAAAAAATCAATTAGGCTGTGTTCCCTTAATTCAATTTAGCACAATATATGGGTATTCCTACTCAAAGCAGAGGACAGACAAGTTCAGTCACGTTCAAACTCAGTCAGACTGAAATAACCAAAGTTTTATCCCAAACAGATACTCACACAAACCAAACCTGTGCAAAGTCACACCTTCAGCACACGCTGGAAAGCCTCTTGGCTTGTCCCAGGCTCAGTCCAGAAGCCAGCCTAAGGCACATCACCCAAGGGCACTGCATTTGGCTCGTACCTCAAAGGAACAACCGAACAGGAAAGCACTCCAAGGCTGACAATTGTGGGCAGTGCCACAAGAACAGAAGGGCCCAGCCAGAATGTCAACAGGTGCCAGACCAATAAACAAGAACTAGTTAGAAGTCTAGATCCTGGTTTTCCCACTGGAGTCACAAAGGTGAACAGCACTCTAAAAGCTTAATTTTAAGCATCATACAAATGTGTGAAAGACATGGAAAGCATAGATACAAAGCCCCAAACAGCAGTGCTAAAGAATTACACAGACTGGTGTAATTACACAGTCAAAAAGACTGTCAACCACACAATCAGCCCAAGACTCATGGGCATCAACAAAATCTAGGAAGGCAAGGAAGATCCCAGATGACCTCTAGAATTTCTCAACATCATTAAAGCACAAGAAGCTGAAATCCCCTGGATAGTGAAGTGTATTCCTGCCAGAAGTGGCAGGAGATGAAAAGGCACTTGAGTGCTCTGAAAGAAGAAGGAACTGATAGAACGAGCAGTCATCACCCACTTTTATGATCTTTGCAGGAATAATTCGATTCTAAAGTAAAGATGGATTATGCCTAAGCCTTTAATCCGTCTCAGCAACAACTCCTGGGACTTTGAGGGTGCTCCCTCAAAAGGCTCTGGCAATTTTCACACCCGTAAACCTATTGCTCCATGAAATTTTGGTAAATTCTGCTGTTTTCAGAACAGCAAATATGGTTTCTATATTGCCTTATTTGGACTGATAATAAGCTAATGTCCATAAAGCTACTTTATCCTAAAATAAGGAATGCCCAAGTGTCATAATCACATGGCAAATAATTTTAAATGTCATCTTCCATAGGCAGTACCTTCCTACTCTTCAAAAATGCTGGTAGTACTGTGAGTATCAGCGTGCCAGCATATGAACACAAACCAAACACTATCAACTGCTACTATTTCTTACTTTGTACCATCTAATCTCTTGCCAATCCTAACAGTTGTAACAACTATTTCTGAATTAACTCTGCATAATTCAAGAGCATCCCATGGTGATGCCTAATTACTGTC